CCTAAATTGATGAGTTTAGGAGTCTGGTTCAAAACTTACAGACCTTGCCAGGCTTGTCCGAGTGCGAGTGTGACAAATGCAGTTCCTTAAGCCCGGGATTGGGAGTCTGCAAACCCGGTTTAAGTTTGAGGGTTTAGGGTTTAGGGCACGTTCTGAACCCTATATCCCTACCCTATGCCCCATAATTGCGAAGCCCAAGATTCTAACTAGGTTGGCCAACTTCCCGTGGTAGTTGAAGTATCTCACGTAAGAGCCCCTATGGAGCCTTCCTAGAAGATCCTTCACGTACTTGGGTAGTTCTCTAAATCGCCCTTATAAAAAGGGACCCCAAAAAGGACCCTAATTCAGAGAATTACCCGCTTCGACGAACCCAGGACAACCGTGCGTCCCACACTTCCCTGCCTCGACGTGGAGTGCTGTTCCTGGGCCCTTGTTGCGCTAAGGAGCTTTAGTTGCAGTTGCCATAGATGTATATGCATGAAGGTTGGAAGTATCTAATCTAGCTGCTCCGGTCTTCTATGTACAAGACAGTACATACAGCACGAATTAGAATATTCGGGGCATGTGGCACGTAGTTAGCAAGTGGCTATGACGGCCGCATATGATGTATCCTAAGTCTCTCATAGCTGCTAAGATAGACCAGTTTACCACCAGCACATGGTATAGCATGATATAATTCTGTATAACATAGTATAACAAAGCATAAATACCATATAATACAAGATTACATTGTGCCGCCAAATTAGAACCGCTAACTGTTGATGCAATCTTGGCAAGCTTGCTTGTGCCCCGGGGCGGGTTTCCGGCTTGACAATCTTGGTAGTTTTGCACCACTTGCACCAAGATTCATCTTGGTATGTTGGGAGATGCCCAGTCGCCCCCAAGTGGTGCAAGTGGCACAAGCGGAGGAAGAGTACCAAGATGACCAAGATTGCCAGGACCCCCGCCCCGGCACGAGATTGCCGACAAATGTGCAAACCAAGATGATCAAGATCATGAATCATGTGTCATATTGCCCCCCGTCGTGGCATATAACTTACGTCATAAAACATGATGTACTATAACATAATATAGCACACGTTAGCATAATACAGTATAAAGCAAATGATATAACATACCATATGTAATGTAACTTGTCTATATATGTTATATTGTGTTTTGTTGCATTATAATGTATCAGATCATGTTATATTATTTCAGATTCCGTTATGTATCTTTTTCTGTTATATTATATTCGAGTATACGCTGTCATTCTATTGTATGATGTACTGCGTTATGTCTTTATTGCATAATTACAATATACTATGTGACGTTTAGTATTCAGTATTTTTATACCCATGGCAGAACACTTCGTGTATGCCTGCGAATATTATATATATATATATAGATATGTCTGTGTGTGCGAGAGAGATACAACATTAAATGTATGCATATATCTGTAGATGTGTACATACACACACATATGCATATATACATATCCACACATATACACGTGTGTGTCAGAGTGTGTCAAGTACACCGAATGTTTTCCGCATTGTGGCACTTCAAAGATCAGAGGACTTGGGAAGTGAAATAGGGTCACAGGCAGTTGCAAGTGTTTTTACCCTACTTATAACCCGAGTTACGAAGCCTAACCATGTACAGGCCCCATAAAAGCCCTATAAAACCGTATACAAAGTTAAAGGAAGGTCCCTATAAAAGAACTGAGCCCTCGACCCTGAACTACCACCACCTAAGTGTAAGAAAGGGCCGTACACCTTCAACCCCGGACCCTAAACTCTACGGATCTTGTTAAGGAGCTCAACTTTCCATAATCAGGAAAGTTTTTTCTAGAAGTGCCACATCTGGCAGCTTAAACCAAGTTCTTTATGCCCAGACTATAGACACCTAAGTTCAAGGAAGGTCCCTGCTAGAACGAAGGTTCTCCATGGATGCGCCCCGGCCACCGGAGGACGACTATGAAGAGCACGCCCCTTGGCTGCGGTCGCAGCGAATTTGTGCATGGCCATTTACGAACTAAGTTAGGATCGTCTAGATGTGGGTGCTAGAGGTGGTAGGGCGGCCGATGGGCAAGCCTATTACGTTGAATCTCTATTAAAAATGTGTCCTTAAACCCATTATAGGTCAGCGATGGCCCTATGGTTTTTTGTTGGCACCTCAGCAGCAGCCCAGGACACGGGAGCAGGCGCAGGTGCAGACCTAACTCAACTGCATCCAGCCTTGCTCGGCCCGAGGAGTCAGAGGCTGGGCTCTGGAGTACCATTCTTCACTATAGGGATTTACTCCCAAAGAGTCTAAGTACCAATATGATAGATACTTTGGGGCCCAAAATACCTACTATATGGGTACTTAGACCCTTTGGGACTTACATCGAAGGATGAACATGTAACAGTGTAGCATAAATTGAAACAGTGTATAGTTACCTTGTTTTATCGCTTTTCTTTTCATTGTTCCTCAAAGAAACCAGTATGAGATGGACGTTGATACTTTCTCTCCTCTCGTTACTTCCAAGCCCAGGTACATTCCAGTGCCGCACGAATCCACCAGCCAGCTGTCCAGAGAGGCGACGCCGCTGGAAGCGCCTGCCATGCAAGGAGTTGCTCCGTGTTTCCTGAATGGAAACCTTTTCAGCTCTTCGTGGATGCAGCTTCCACAGGCGCTTAGGAGTCTGGCGAAGTCATAATTTACTAATATATTGTTTCATCTTCTTTATATATATATATATATATACACAGCTATATCATATATATATATATATATGCAATTTTTATGTATACTATGTTGTACTATGTTATAGTACGTAGCGGCTGTTGCAGAACTAAGGCTGCTTCGGGTCGTGGACAGGAAGGCGCCGGTGATCCGATCTCCGCAGATGTGGTGCGAGATGCACCTCATGAGTCGTATGGTGAAGATGCTACGCTGGATGGACCAAACTCAGCTGCCGATGTGCCTCAGAACCGTGACGAGCAGGATGGCGAAGCAGGGCAGGAGGCAACTCCGAAAGAGGTGGTCCCAGAGAAGCCTCCAGATTCCGCAGCCCCGCCTACAAGTTCGCCAAATTCCTCGGAGCAGGCTCCCGTCCCAGCTTCGGCCACAGAAGCGCGGGGCAGAGCACAGACCGCCTCAACCCGACGAAGCGTGGCCGAGTGCGATGAGTTCGGGCCCGACTCCGCCCGAAGGGCGAGTATGCCCGCACACCCCAAGGGCTCTGGAATAGGGGAGCTGAACACCCTAGATCAACCCTCGGTGGACAAGCCCAATGAGCCTTGAGAATTTTCAGCTACGGATCGCTTATGTTGCTCTTAAAAGTCACACTGCGTTTGATGCTCCAGTGTGGCATCTGCACCTACTCCCTCTTTACGCTTTGCCCTTCGTTCACTTGCGGCACTTCACACTGGAACAATGCAGGGGACTTAATTCCGAGGCAGGGATTATGGCTGCCAAGCATTGATTGTAGCTTCTCAGCACGACGAACTATTCGCAGGGGCGTTGGGAGGCCGCTATTATTATTATTATTATTGCTATTATTATTATTATTATTATTTCAGGAGGGCATGATTGCGGGTCGTTTCTCGTTCCTCCCCTGTTTCTGGTGTTTGTGTCGTCGAAAGCTCTCGGTTGTTGCTCGCGGGCAATTTTCAGAATTTTTTCCCGAGCATCAGACTTTGAGCTTTTCGCTTCAAGGGCTGCGAAGTTTTCGAGTCGGGCTGATTATAGGAGGATGGGGTCAGGGGTCTTTAGGTGCACAAGCTTCGACTTCTAGCAAACTCTCAAGCAAGAAATGTCCTGTAGACTGTCCTACTCTGCTCCTACTACACTGTGCCGAACATGCGTGATACGCACCATCAAGCAATGGGGGACACAAAGCACCCTGCGATAAGCGTCCCTATTCAAGCTTCAGTTCTTCAACAGTGCATACCAACTGGTCACGATGACGGGATCCGAACACTGAGCGGAGAGTTCGTAAACGCACATCAGCCATGTTCGTAACTACTACTACTACTACTACTACTACTACTACTACTAGTACTCGTACTACTACTACTACTACTACTACTACTACTACTACCACTACCACCACCACCACCACCACCACCACCACCACCACCACCACCACCAGGCGCCACCAGGTGTACTACCTACCACTATCAACTGCTGGCTACCAGCTGTGAGTTGCTACGAACGACTAGCTTCTAGCTACTAGTTAACAAGTACCAGCACCGTAACACCTACTGCGCCAGCGACGACGACGGCCGCGTTGTCGACGATGACGACCACGACCACGACCACTTTACGGCAACAAACTTCCGCTGCCAAAAGCGTCAAGCACAGGATACTGATATCCTCGTCCAATGCTCTCTGAAACAGCTTGGTTTGCGTGAGAGCGACATGAGGCGTGTTGAATCAAGGCTCGTGCTAATTGTTCGGTCCGCCACGTCATTACCTGCAGGTTAGGGTCACTAGGTTTGATGTGAGCTGGATGGGACTGCGGCCGAGGCTGCATGCGTTTCCAACAAGTTGAAGCCACCTGTGCCGAGGAAACTTAGATTTCTTTTATCAGCAGATGCCGCATAGTCGGTTAGAATGTACTCGAAACTTCCACATGGAGATCGATGAGCAGAGCGGGAAATGGCTTTACTTGCCGGCAAATTGATCTTGCATAAGGACAGTCTAGGATACATGCCTGCGGGTCCGGCATGCACTCGGTTTGCTTGGCATGGGCTTTGGCTTGGGTTAATTCGGGCTGCTAGATTTGCTGTTGCAGACGCACCACAAGTTGTGCGCATTTATACGCCCAATCCGGACCATCTGTGAACTGCATGAAACAGCAAGTCGCAAGAGTAGGAATTCCTTTTCGGTCCAGTTCCAGCTTCGTCACCTTCAGACGCTTGCTTCAATGTTGGTATAGCTTTGGGAAGATCTTGGCTGGCAGCAGAGCTTTCAAGGCAAGTGCACGACACTCAGCAAACTTGCTGCAGAGATTTTTGCTTGCGTGCCAGGCGCCGTGCCACACCATCTATTTCCTCATCCACGCCATGGCGCCTGCCTCGGCTTGGCAGAAAGCCCTGTACCGTACGCAACAAGGAATGATGATGCTGAGGAAAGCTTGTTTGATTTCGCGCACGGGGCCGGTGGTTGGGCCGCTGCGAATCGTTTGGCGCAGGCGACGAAAAGCGCCTGACTGGGCCTCGTCCACATGTTTGCCGCGGCACTCTGCTGCTTCCTTGCAGGTTTTGCTCCAGCGCCACGAGTCCTATCTGAATGGGGCGGAGCAAAAGAAGGCCGAGGGCAAGTCCAACAAGATCTTGACGGCGAAAACAACGACCTTTCAGGCACAACATATTCTGACGACCACCCGGCACGGCCGCCTTTCCGGGCGTGTTGGGACGGAGATCGCCAGTGCTCACGACTTAGTAGACTTAGTACCTGTGCAGGGCCTGTGGCTGAGAATGCCAATGTCGAGGAAAAGCAGCTGCACAGTGCAGGCATGTCCTGTTTGCAGAGCTCCAGCAGACTTCCTCGCGCTGAGTTGCGACAGTTGCCATGCCGTGCAGTGAACTTAGACATGCGTAGTCATAGTCTGCACGGCCAGCTCCTAGAATGCTCAAGTCTAACTGCAGGTTTGGAGTCGACTTCAGAGACCTCACTGTTTGTGATCTACGACAAGCCAAGACTTGCAGCAAAGCTGAATTAACGCTGCCCAGTGAAACTTGATATTGACTTGAGAACGCAGGCACCGTGTGCAGAGCAACCTTTGGACGCGGCCTCTGCATATTCGCCCACCTCGGCCCCCCTCCTGCTTTTGATATGGCTCTTGGGTGAATTCAGTTCATTCTGCAGACACAAGCATTAGGCGGTGCGACGTTGGAGCAGCCCGAGCGCAGAAGGCACCACCTGACACATGGAGCACCTGGACAGCAGAATTTCACAGTTTGGCCGCCGGGGCCTCTTGCCAGGCAAGCAGGCCTCGCGCAGCCAATCAAGTCGAAAGCTCAACGCAGCTGCACTAGTCACACGGTGCAAGAAAGTCTTAGGCCTGGGCATAAAGAAAGAGAGAGACTTTGCTTGTCTTATGTCTCTCAGCTTTTGTTCTCTCAGTCATCCAGACTATGCTGGGAAAAAGTTTCTGTATGTGAAATATTTAGCTGTGGCAGTCATCCTCTCGTCCATGCTTCTGCATGGGCTCCATCTGTGTATTTGCGTGCTCACGATGGGGTCGTCACTGCGGTGTGGTTAGATCACTGATGGATTTCAATCGCACCCCGACCTAGTTCCTCGACGGAATTGTTTGGGGACGTGACAACGTCGTGGCGAGATTGATGATGATTGGCTCTTGGTTGTCATTCCAATTCATGCTCGAGAATGTTGTGCTTTCCCAGGTCGAAGCCCAGCTTTATGACATAGCAAGCCAGCTGTATGCTAAACGCTGTGAAATGTGTACTTTCAAAGTTGTGCCTGAGCCGTGGATGAACAAAGCGCATGAGTTTGGGGCATTCAGACACTGAGACGAGGGCTAAAGCTTCGGCGTGAGGCGGGCATGAGGGCATATGCACTGCAGCCACTCCTCACCAAAACAAGGCAGTCATCTCAGCAACTAGTCGTCCTCGGAGTTGCTGGAACGCTTTTCACCCCTCTCTACCAAGCCCAACATGGGTGGGCTCGGCCTGGGAGGTTTTGAACGTCCCATGCCCCAGGAGAGACAGAGATATCTCTCTAGTGGCACCCACAACAGGTGGGGGCGAACGTGCACGCCTGCAAGGGGGTCTCCCCCTTGTCCCTAGCCCGGCGAATGAAAGAAAGAACAAGAGATACCATGTTTCCCTGTTTCAAAGAGGATCATATTTTCCGGTGTCGTGCATGTGGCTTCTTGCTGGAGTTGTATACCTTAGAGCTCCGGATGACCTGAGTATAACCAGCAGTGTGTGAGATGCTGCACTTTGACCTGTTTACTAGAAGTATCCGAGGGAACGGATGGCTCATTTCTCTTCATCCGTGCAGACAGAAGGCCGGCACCCCACCCTCCCGCACGAGCTCGCGCACTGGTCGGTCTGCATCCGGCTTGCTTGCTTCCAGGGCTTGCGGAGTGACCTGCAATGCTATGACACATGCTATGAAGCCATTCGCGAATATGCTGACGCACTGGATAACTGGATAACCAAAGCAATGCGTCAAATGGCCAGTATCACCCTGCCCTGGATACCGTGGTTCTTACGAGGGAGCTTGATTCAAAGTTCATGGCACAAGGAGGCTGAGACTACATGTGACCATTCGACTCCCATTATCAGTGAACCCGTACGTCGATTGATTCTTGTGAGACCCACTGCAGCCTTGCTGTGCAGTTTCGGGGGGCCACCCCTCGAAGTCAGCATGTTGCTAGGTAACAAGATGGGAATTAGGGTTTTTGACTTAATCCGGAGCTTCCCCCTTACGCGAAGACTGTACCTGACGGTTGTATGGCTTCCAATCCATGTTTCATTTCAATGACGGGCCGGTGGAGCTTCCAAATTCCTCTCCGGATGAACAAGAAGGAAGGACAGCTTCCGTGTTCCAGCGGCAGCTAGCATGTTCGCAGCTGTCACCCAGGGATGCGCAAGTCGAGCCAAGATGCCTCTGTCAATCCGGGTCCACAATTTATGTTTCTGGGTGCAGGGTCCAACGACAGTTGAGCTGGCCGGGGGAGTTCGAGTTTGTGATGCACTTCTGTCGCGAGCTGTGCTTCAGGGTCTTGCTTCGTCTGTTGCAGGGAAGGGACACGAACTCCCGTGCCGAAACTTTCGCACCGATAAGCCCAGGCGGACCATCAGGTCCACCACAAGGGGGAGCAGGATTTTGCACTGTTCCTGAGGCGTTCGGAAAGAAAGAGAGAGAGAGTGGGATGATTTGACATCTTCGTCCCCCCGCCGTTCTGCAGTCATTGTAGGCTCGTCCTAGCCAGGCGGGAAGAAAACATTTGTGTACACGATTTCATTTCCTCAAAAGATTATGATATTTGCAGCAGAGTCCCTTGTGAAAAAATGTTGACTTGAGCGGCTTGAGCATTCCTTGTCTCCATGAAATGTGCTCGCAGTGCCAACTGAATCTCTCCCACAAAAAACTTGTGCACAGACCTGAAGCACGCGAGCTGCCTGCTGCCTGCTACTCCGCAATACGCCCAAGCCAAGCAGGCGACCCCTCTCCACAGCATGCAAAAGTGCCTCGGACCGCCAGCCCATCTGAAGACCCAAGCAGCGACATCAGCCTGCCGCAGCGACCAACACATGCAGTGGCAGACCACCCACCGCAGACGGCCGACAGCCTGACCACATGGCACATCCCAACAGCGCCCAACACAAGACGCGAGTGCTTCAGCAGATGCTCGACCTACCCGGCGAGGTACCAGGTCTGGTATTGGCAAGCGTGCCAGGTCCAGGTGGGCGTTCGAATGATGAAACGCCACTGGTCAGCTCAACGTCAACCGCGACCACGCAACGTGAATCCAAGTTGATTCGTGAATGATCCTACCACAGCTGAAAGTTCCAGGGGGCAATCAATGATCTTGTCCTGTGTTTCTGAACATCTTGTTTTTACAACAGTCTGTGCGGCCTGCAACTACTGACTTGGCCTGTTCCATGCATTGGAAAGACCTGCAGCGCACTTTTGATGCATCAGCTGCAGGTGCCTTAAGCCTGCGCCCCGCTTCAGTGGGGTGTGTGTGTGTGTGTGTGTGTCTCTCCGTTTGCATGTGTGTGTGTGTGGGTGTGCATTTGTGATGTTGCAGGGCACGGCATTTTCTCCCTAGCCATGCCAACCGGGGGCTGTGTGCAGAAACGGCGGACTGGACCCAATCCGCCAAGAGAGTCAGGGCATTTGCTGTTGTGAGGGGCATGTGACGGAGTCCGCGTGAGAGAGAGAGGGCATGTTCCGGAATGACTGGCATGCATCAAAAGTAATTTAAATACGATTCAGATACGAAATGAATACGAGCGGGAAAACAAGCGGAACTACGAGCGGCAATCCAGCAGCAGCAGACAATACAAGAACATTACCAGCATACTACAAGAAAAACACAAGGATAAAACAAGAGAAAATACGAGCGGAAATACGAGCGGGAATACTCAGTAAAGTTTACTGTTTCAGTTTTGAATGCTTGTTTTCCGTTTTCTCTCACGATTCACGGCTGCGACAATCTGATTTTGTTTTCATTTTCTCGTCGTAGCCTGTATGTCGCGTCGCGTTTACCCTTGCTGCGCATAAGCGTGCATGTGTTTCGTCAGCTGGGTCTGCACGTGCTTCCAGAGTTCTGACCACTGTTGCATGCACTGGCGACAGCAGGCTGCAGTTTGTGGTCGAGCATCCTTGCAGTGTGCTTTGCTGCCTATGGCATTTGCAAGTCACAAGTGAAGGTCAAGCTTGTGTCCGGCATGCACCGTCGGAGAGCTTCGCCAACCTGACTCTGCATCAGCTGTTTAGCTCATGGTTCCAGCTGCATAAGTCCCTTGCATGACCGGGCCATCGGCAAGACCACATGTCCCGAACGTAATGACGACTTTGGCCAAACAAAACATACAGGGTTTCTGTCCGGAAACCCGGTCTTGCATGTACATACAGGATTTTTCCGGGGACTATGCGGAAGAGACTTTCACTTGTTCCAGTCTCTAAAGCAAGTTAATGTGTGCAAATGCTTCTGCCGCAAGTTCAGATTAGCAAAAGGGGCGAGTGCCACTGGCTCGGCCAGTATGTCGCGTTGCACCGTACTTTATTGCAAGCCTTGAGAATCGCACTGTTCCGATACCGCAGATTTTAGCTTAAGTGCTCGGGGCTTGCGGGACCTTCATCATCATGCAGGGAGGTTACGGGGGTGGTTATGGCTATGGCTACCAGCGCCTTGGCTGAATTGTTGTTGCAACAGGCTGAGCTCTGAAAGCCAGCTGTCATTGCCAACAAGCGTCACGGCCCCTCTTTGATCTCTGAAGTCGATGAAGCAGTCGTTTTGTTGCTGCGATCCTTTGCCTTCAAGTCCAGTTGGTGCAGGGAGCCGAGGTGGAATGAACCACTAGCGGAAAGCGTGCTATGTGTCTGAGGCAAGGTTATGGTTACGACCCCAACATGATGTACCAGCAGCAGCAGATGTGGCAGCAGCAGCAAGCCTACATGGCCCAGCAGAGTCCTGGCAGCATTGGAGGTGAGGAGACTGCGTTGCGCCGTTACGTGCATCATGCCTGAAACTTCTCACTCACTCTGCCATTGCCCGTAAGGTTCCATTAAGCTGGCAGGAAGCACGTGTGAAAAGGTACTCCATGGTACTCCTCAACGGACATGCCATGTAATGCAACAGTTGGTCAATGAAATGATCTGTAAGAATTTCCGTCAGTTTGCACCGCCCCGCGCAAGCGAAGGAGCAATCTGCATTTTCTGCTCTCCATCCGTCATAGGATTTTCATCCGCATCCCGCGTTACTGGAAGAAGAGGACCTCCCGAAAGCTTCATCCACCAACTTCCGATGGGTCCTGCCTGCTGAAGGTTTCGGTGCATTGTTCAATCTCAATTTTGCAATCGTCACAGCGGGTTGCTGTGGCCTTCTTGCGGTCTTCGGGATGTGCCTCGAGTCGCAAGCAGTACGAGGCTGCACCTTCCGCTGTGGAACGCGTGGACAATCTGAGAAGAAAGTCGAGTTGCTGCAAGAAGACATTCTGGGAACACTCTTCGACCTATAGTGGGCCCCGAAAGCATCATTCGCTCCCGGAGTGATGCAGTAAGAACAGCAGTTCCTGAATATGCTGTCAATCGTAAATGCAAGCTTCTTTGTATGCACTGCGCCTTTGGAGGTGGAAGCACAACCGCACCGAAAACGTCGCAAACTCAAGCGATTTCGAATGCTTGCTGTACACAGCTCGTTCAAACCCTGCCAACTTCCATTCCTGCCCTCGTGCGCTCGACATGCCGAGAAGATGCTCTTTGTCTTGCTATCTGGGGCCGACAGTGATGCCAGTTCCGCTAGGTCTTATGAGAACGAGTAGTAAGTAGTTGCATCCATGACGATGATGAGAGCACGACAACAACTGCTACTTGTTGTTTCGTGGGTCATTGGTAGGTATGCCTGGGGGAGGGCAGCCCTCCCCCAGCCCCCAGGCCTGCTTAAGCCAATTCATTGTGGGTTCACCTTCTGCGCACCTGCCTGAGATCATGCAACGAGGAGCAAGTCTGTAGTACGCATGAGGAAGTCTTCGCGTAAAGTAGTAGAGCGACGGCAGCGACGAGGTTTTCGTGGGTCGTGGTAAAGTGAGTCGAGCCTCTTATCCAACGTGTTGCTGCAGGGATCTCTTTGCCGTCTTCGCCCTTGTATATGGTACCATATATATATATGTATATGTGCGATGCTCGCGTTCCTTGCTCTTTCGAACGTAAGTCTCACTTGTCTTGTGAGGGAAAAAATTTCAGTCGTTGGTTGCCACAGAACACTCTTAACCTTCTCGTCGTCCTAATCTTGAATCACATGCATCCTTACTAAGCCCCCCGCGATTGGTTGCCTTTGATCGTTTGTCATGCGAAACAGCACAACTAGATCATCTCATCACTGTCCAGACTTCGCCTACGAATCGTCGCGTGAAGCGACAAAGCTTCAGTTCTGTTGTGTTTGGAAATGTGACTCGCACAGTCAACGCCGTGACAGGGAAACCCTCGCTAGCTGAGGCAGGGCTACGGGCAAGGCTTTGGCCAAGGCCAAGGCCAAGGCCAAGGCCAGGGCCAAGGCCAAGGCTTCATGGGAAAGGGGCAAGAGCCGCAAGGACAGCCAGGGCCTCAAGGCCAACAGAGCCAAGGCCCAATTTTCAGCTGTTTCCGCCTGCATACACTCTGGGAGCTTTTGTCGCGCTGGTACAACACTGAATGATTGGATTTCATGAATGCAGGCTTCGGAAAATCTGGAGGCAAGAGCGGTGGCGGAGGCAAGAACAGTGGCGGGGGCTCCTCAGGACTGGGAGGAGCAAGCGAGCCTTGTTTGCAATGCGCAGTTGCGAGGGTCCTGGTCGATGCGCTGCCCGGAATTTCCCATACCAAGCTCCGACTCAACGAGGAACGGAGCAAAGGAGGTGGAAAGGCGGCGAAGAGCCAGCCCACTGCCGCCCGGCTTCAAGCACTGATTTTTTCTTTTCTGACTGTGTGCCCAGGCATTTGAGTGAATCCTTTCCCTCACGAGGAGATGACCCTCGAGGAGTATCAAGCTGAACAGAAGAGAAAGGCGGCCGAAAAGAAGGAAAAAATGTTGAAGCAGCAGGCGGGTGAACCTCTGGAGCAGAGTAGTAGTCCGGGTACCATTGTTCTGCCGTTCGATCATAACGCAGGAGGAGGCACGGGCTGCTGCCAAAGCGCGCGCAGAGGCCTTCGAAAGGGGCGAGCTGCCCGCCGAGGAGCCGAAGGAAAAGCCCAAGCCAGAGCCCGAAAGCCAGGAGGTTCAGGCCCCAGCGGCCAAAGCAGAGCCGGAAGTCGAGAAGCCGATGCCCGCAGAGCCGGAAGACGACTGGGAGGCGGAAGCTGAAAAGGAAGAAACTCCAGCACCGCCCGCGCCTGCGCCCGCGCCCGCGCCCGCGCCCCCTTCAAAGAAGGAGATAGCAGAGGCGAGCAAGGCCCAGAAAGCTCCGGCACCGCAGCCGCAAGAGGTACAGCCACAAGAGGAGGAGCCGGAGGAGGTCTCGGCAGAGCCTGCTGAGGTCAAAGTAGATGGAAAGGACGCGGATCGCAAGGTACCAGATCCTCGTCCCCACCTCAACGTGGTCTTTATCGGCCATGTCGATGCTGGCAAATCTACGACCTGCGGTAACATCCTGTTTCTCTGTGGGATGGTCGATGAGCGAACCATCGAGAAGTACAAGCAGGAGGCCGCCAACAAGGCCGGTGAAAGCTGGTTCTTGGCCTTCATCATGGATACCAGCGAGGAGGAGAAAGTCAAGGGCAAGACTGTCGAGGTGGGCAGGGCAGCCTTCGAGACGACGAATCGTCGCTTCACAATCCTGGATGCTCCCGGCCACAAGTCCTATGTTCCCAATATGATCGCAGGAGCATCTGCCGCCGACGTTGGTGTGCTATTGGTTTCTGCTAGAAAAGGCGAGTTCGAGACAGGCTTTGAGAAAGGAGGACAAACTTGTGAGCACGCCTTGCTGGCAAAAACTCTCGGAGTCGAGAAACTGGTCATTGCAATCAACAAGATGGATGACCCCACTGTCCAATGGGACGAGAAGAGGTACAACGACATTGTGAAAAAGATAGGGGCGTTTCTCAAAAAGAGTGGCTACAAGGACGACCAAGTCATTTTTCTTCCCATGTCGGGGTTGATGGGGGACAACATCAAGGAAAGGAAAGGCACGCCTGCCTGGTACACCGGCTTGACATTGCTTGACTCATTGGATGGTATTTCTGTAGCCGGTCGAAAAGCCGACGGCCCACTGCGAATTCCGATGATGGAAGGCTACAAAGACATGGGTGCAGTCACGGCCATCGGGAAGATAGAGCAGGGCACGGTCAGACCTGGCATGAAGTGTGTCGTGATGCCAACCAACAACAAATGTCAAGTGACAGCAGTTTACATCAATGATGTAGAGATGCAGTATGCCACGTGTGGTGAGAACGTTACCTTGAAGATGTCGGGGATCGGCGATGAGGAGCTGAAGAAAGGCTACGTAATGTGTGCAGACAAAGTTCCCATCCCAGTCGTTTCCAAGTTCAAGGCGACTATTCATGTAATTGAGCTAGGGCCCGACAGGCCGGTGATGACATCAGGGTACGTTGCTGTCATGCATGCACACACCGCAAGCGAAGAATGCGAGATTCTCAAGTTGTATGAGACCATGGTGATTCAGACCAAAAAGAAGGAGAAGAACCCACAGTTCGCAAGACCGGATTCGGTAGTTGTCTGCAGCATCAAGCTGGCACGACCGACGTCTGTGGACACGTTTACATCTTCTCCACAGCTTGGCCGGTTCACTCTTCGAGTGGACGGACGAACAATTGCAATTGGAAAGATAACTGAGCTGCCAAAGTCTGCAGGGGATGCCTGAACTGTTCGTGAGACTGGTGTTTTCGATTGCCAGCACGTAGGTTTTTATTACTGATCGGGAATCGCAGAGATCAGGCCACCGATGTCGATTGGGTTGTACGACAAGCAAGCACGCAACATCTTATCAGCAAAGCCATCAAATCGACCGGGGCCGCAGCGGCGACTCGTGTGCATGCTCAAGCATGCGTACACAGAAAAGCAATAGCAGATGCTGGCACCTTCTAGCGACGGGGCCTACTGATCTAAGTATTCTGTGTGGGACCTGAAGCACAGTGACGTTGGTATTTGAATTGGTTCTGTTATTGCTCTTTGGTCCCACATCGCTCGTTAGCAAAGCTTCCGCGCGGCCCGCATTTCCGAAATGCTGTAAGTGCAGGGCCCAGAAGCTTGGAACTGGCGCAGACCATTAGCCGCCAGACGCCAGTTTTGCATGCGGACAGAAAAAGCACTGCAGCGTGTCGACTATGTGTGACAGGTTGGTGCATATCGCGCCTGTGGAACTCTTTGTGGTGTTGCATTGGAAGGATGTTGTCTCGATCAAGGCCGTTGGCACTGTGCGAGTCTTTCAAGAAGAGACATTAGGACACAAGAGCAGTAGTCTGGCAGTGCCGGGCTCGATAGACCAGTGCCAAAGAATAGTCTTGCAAAGCAAACACACCGTTGAGAAGGAATTTCCCTTCAGTGGCATTGCATCCAAGTGTGGGCCTACCATGAACCGCTACAAGGCAATTTGGGGCGACGGATCCGCAACTGATGCACGAATCGACATCCCGTGCAGGTCACCAAAGTTCTAGGCGATGGCACGTACGGATCAGTCCTGCGAGCCCAAAACAAGCAGACCGGTGAGGTCAGCCTCTCTTGGAGCAACTGTTGAGCAGAGAAAACGTAGCGGTACTGTTGTTGTTTCAGAGATGATCGAACCTTACCAGCGGTTCAGGTCGTAGCTATAAAGAAGATGAAGCAAAAGAGACCCGGTGGCATTAGTGACGCATTCCGAGCTTTTGTTTCTATTGGTGGCTGCTTCTTGTGTATGGCACGAGTCGAGCACAGGATGTATAGCTGGGACGAGTGCATGAAGCTGCGGGAAATCCAATCCCTCAGGCAGGTGGATGCCGGGTTACTGCCTTGTGAATGCAGCACTCCGCATGTTCTGCCAGGCAGCTCATTCACCCCAATATTGTCAAACTGAAAGAAGTGATCAGAGAAAATGACGAGCTCCACATGGTTTTTGAGATGATGGAGGCGTCCAAACTGTGCTGTCTGCCGTCCCGCCGGTATGCCACTAGGCGTCTCGAAGCGCAGCCGTGCACTGCTGCAGGCCAACCTGTACGAGTTCATGAAATCCCGGGTGCGATCGTTGCCAGAGTCGAAGATCCGAAACATAATGTTTCAGACCATGCAGGCACGGACTGTGCGAAACTTACGAACGGAGTGAAACTGTTGCATGGACACGTCGAGGGATTGCACTTCGTGCATAAAACTGGATACTTCCACAGGGATATGAGCCTTGGCTTTGAAGTTGTGGCTTACGGCGGTTTTGACTCTGTTGGCAGATAAGTGTTCTTCTTGCTCTCTGATGCTGAGGAAGCCAGAGAATGTTTTGATTTCCGGCGACACGGTGCGCCTTTTTCCTTTCATCCTGCCGCTCTCGCTCTCCCTCTCTCTCTCTCTGAGCTCTGAGCTCCCAGCTCTTTCCTTGCAGGTGAAGCTGGCCGATTTCGGGCTGGCACGGCAAATTCGAGCTCGCCCACCGTTCACAGACTATGTCTCGACACGATGGTACCGAGCTCCAGAGGCGTTTTGAGACCTTGCCGGACGGTCGATTTTGTTCACCTGCCTTCACGGCGCCTGCAGGTTTTGTTGCGAAGCCAGCACCTTAGGCTTTAGGCTTTCCGCTGTCATCTGCTCCAAATTGTCTGTCTCTCGCTGTCTCTCTGTCTCTCTTGCGCGAACCCTGTCTGGAAGAAGGTTCTACCTACAACTCGCCGATTGATCTTTGGGCGTGCGGCGGCATCATGGCAGAACTGTACACGCTACGACCCTTGTTCCCGGGGTCATCAGAATCAGACGAGCTCTACAAGAGCCTCAGCTTCTGACAGAACTTTGAATTTGAATATTTCCTACAAAGAGGTCTTCGCTATCTTGGAGTTCAAGTGATATTTAAGGGCTTGTGTGCTATGTGTGCTGTTTCTGCACGAGTTCAGTATGGGATGTGCCCAGCAAATTAGGATATGCTCGGTTCTTGGGACACCAACGGCAGCGAGTTGGCCAGATGGCTTCAAGCTTGCATCGCAGTTGCTTGGCAAGCACAAGGCAAAGAATTCGCGACCGATACCGAGCACCCAGTGCTTTCAGGATAAACTATCGATTCCCACAGTTCGTCCCTACGAAGCTCGAGACTTTGGTGCCTCAGTCCAATTCTGATGGCATTAACATCATGCTGGCACCGACCTCAGCTTGCCTGAGGATGCTTGGGCATGGGCATGCAGAGTTCCGAGGCCATGATGAGTTGGGATCCTGCAAAAAGACCTTCGACTGCTCAAGTCTTGAAACATCCCTATTTCGAAGTAGCGCTGAATGAGTCGGGGCCCTAAGCCGGATCCACCCAGCATCACCCAGCCTCCCACGTCTGACTCTGTTTTGCAAAGGTCCCAGCAGACTCCTGCCAGTCAGCTTCCCCATCTGCCAGACACGGGCTCAGTTCCTGAGCTCATGGTGAAAAGATCGTTCCGGTGCTTTGCCAAGTCACAAGGCGGGCGGTTCACAGGAGCCAGCCATGCCAGCTCGCGCCCCGATGCCTTCTTCGAAGCCTCCGGCACCACTTGCCGCGGCACAGGCTCATCTGCTAGGTCGAAGCGGCTGTAAGTGGAACTTTAGCGGAAATGCTGCGTTTGAGCTGAGTCGGCTTCGTATACTGATAGACCGATCCTTTGTAATTTGCTTGCCGTCAAAACGCAGGTTGGCCAAGTGACCTCCAATGGCTTTGCCGGCACCATCCTCAGGTTGGGCACCGGACGCACCGGGCATCCGGGCAATCAAGAGGAAGATGAAGGCAATCCTTCTGCCCTTCTTCCCCCTCCCTCCCGTGTCTCTCCGCCGCCCACCCTCTCAGTTTGCCGTTTGGTCGCCCGTCAGGGACCAAAATCCTGGTTTGGAAATTAATTCCGTGCGCGTAGAAGTTACCGTGCCTTGTTAAGTTGTGGGTTGGAGCATCGGCATCCGAAGACTTTGCTTCTCATCGATCAATTTTCGTGTGCCACAGCCACGCTGACTGGTCGTCACACGGGCCGCGTGAAGCAACAAATCTCACGCGCTGGCATCGGAATACAAGCTGTCTGTAGTTTTGTGGCTTGAGGCACGCGAGGAAGTTGGAAAGGAGAGGTGCCTTGGCGGCCTTGGCGCACAAGCGCAGAGCACCTTTGAAGTACGGAGCCTTGCAGGGCAGCCATCCCAGCACAGGCAGACACTCCGGCAAGGCCCGGGGCCGAGCAAAGCCGCGCGAAGCCTCGTTTTCGGTCCTCGCCCTCGCCCAGGAGAACGCGAATGGCTCCAAGGGCTTTAACTTGCCACCCCTGAGGCCTGAGGACATGGCGGTGTCGAAATCAAAGCCTCGGTGTTTGTCCGCAGGGGTGAAGGCCACAGCTCCAGCGCGAAGAAAAGCCAGCTCGGCTGTACCTTTATTCCCTGGTCTGGTTGACCATTGCGAGGTCAGTCATCGCTTTGTAAAGTAAAAATGTTGCCAGGCCCTGGCGCCCGCTATTTGAAGATGGCACGCTACCAGCCAGGTCGCTAGTGGGACAGGATTGCTTGATACACCTGAGATTGAGACCTGTGCTGATCCGTGGAAGGCATGCAGCAACCGCTGGTGCCGCCGCAGTTGCCCGCACCACATGGCGGCATTGGGGCGGCACTTCCACCGATCATGCGCAAAGATCCTGTAGGGGCCTAAGCCTGGTCATTGTGCGAGTGTTTAAGCCAAGTCAGTGCTTGTTTGGTCAGCTCTGTCGCGTGGCTGAGGCGTTGCCGGAAAACGGCGGCAAGCAGAGTTATTTTGGGGCACATGCTGCCCGAATGCTCGGATGAGGTGACACACAGTCCATCCGGTGTTTTAGCGCGTTTGCGTAACATCGCTGGCAGCAGGGCTGCCGAAATGTTCGCACCTGTGCAGGCTGTGGTGTGGTGCATGGAGTCGGCTCACTGCCATGCTGCCAGTGCCTGCAAATTTGGGTGCTTTGGCTCATTGCAGTTCGTTTTCGTGGCGAGATCCATGCCCTTCGTCTCACCCGAGGGCCCTGCATAAGAATTTGTACTGTGTGATGCTTTTGGATCTGGCATTTGGCGTTGAATACTTAGACCTCATTGGTGAGAAAAGCATTGCTGATGGACCCGGGCCCAGCTCATGTCGTGAATCGACCCGTGTAAGCTGCATTGATGCCATGCAACTTGTACAGCCATGTCAATCAGACAGCTTGGGCGGAAGTTCTGTTGTACACACGCCTAAAACTAGGCGAATTCAAGCTTGGCTGAACCAAGAGAAATGTAAAGCTATTGTCAGCTGTCCAACCCACAGTCGCAACAGCACGCTTGGTGTTTCTGCAGGACGAGACTGGAACGATTGCTATTTCCTCCGTGCTTTCGCTCATGTCAGTTTCGCTTCTGCCGCATTCCGCAACAAGCTTCAGCGTCACACAAATCCGGCTACAGCACAACGGCTTGCAAGTCCGTGTAGATGTAACATGAGATGTAGCAGGTGCTTAGACGCTTGGACGCAGCTGCATCTGTAGCTGTGCAGGCAATCAACAATATCGGCGCACTAATTAACTCCAGAGAGCTGAGCTCGGATGATGGTCGCCGAGACTCGAATGGACTCGAGGTGAGCCTTCAACAACTGCAGGCAGTTTTGTCAAGTCAGAACTCCGTGGTAACGGTGCGCAGGATCCTATCATGCAGACCGGAAGCCTTCTGTCAGTGCAGCCTCGTGCTCTCCTTGTGACAGGAGCAGAGTCCGTACTGGGGGTGCTGTAATTGCAGCAAGTGACTGCTCAGCGCTGTTCAGGAGTGTGTTTTGCGCTCTACTTCGGCATGAGTCTCGGTGCAGTTGTCCAACGCAGCCAAATTGTCGCGGCTTTGTCAACCCATGTGGGATTTTTGCTGGCTGCACTTCCGACTCTAAAACTTGCATTGGAACCCTTGTCTTTCTCTTTCCTTCATGTTTTCTGTGGAACATTCCAAGAAGAAGGTTTGAGATTTGTGTCGAATGCGATAAATGAGAGCTGCATCCAGGCCTTTGGCAGCGGACTTCCTTGTCTGGCTTCCTCGCTGCCAGGCATCATGCCTTAGTAGTCGGGCAACACGATTGCGACATGTTCAATCAACGCCTTACAATCTCTGATCTGCAGCTCTGCCGCATGTTGGCCATCAGCAGTCTCTGCGATACATCGCAGGTCAGAAAGAGAAATAGAAAGGAAGTGAAGGAATGGAGAATGTCAGTATTCCACACCTTACATACATGAAAGACATGCTTGGGAACTTCGTTGCACCGAAAGACAGGGCGCAGACTATTGCGAAACATTCGGAAGAAAAGCATTGGCAGAACACAATCACATTAACTATGGAAAGAACAGCAAAACTTCAACTGTAGACGGTGCATTTAACGTAGATTGTTTCAGTTATGGAGAGTTTTAAAGCAGCCTTCAGGAGCATGAAGCATACAAGACTAAAGTGTCCTTTTTCACCGTATTTGTTTGTTCTGGTCATAAGCGCTATTGATCATGACGTTAGCAGGAATATCAGGGCTAGAACGCGCAATGCGCGGTTCGAAGGACTTGACTTTGACAGCGTGCATCATGCTAACAACACGCTTATAATCACTACATGCACGCAAGCATGCAATAACCTGTTGCACGAAGTAGAGAAGGTATTGAACAGAGACAAATGTGCTTATATTGCAATTCATTAAATTCGCAGATGGCCCGCGATTGAGAAGGTTAACGAGGCAACTGCCTTCGGACATCAAATTACTCAGGCTATGGACATCAGGCATGAAGTCAACTCAAATTCTCAAGTCACAAGCTGCACTCTTTCTGGAAATCCGTCAACTGCCCTATGGATACCATCCAAATACGAATGCAAGAGTCATTGAGAGAGCTAATGCATAAATAGGCGGACAAGAAACAGGTAAAACTGTTTTCAGACATGTTCACGGAAAAACGCGCGAAGCTGGCTGGACATATCCCCAGCAAGACCCTCTACGCCAAGTAGGTTACCAGCCAGATTCGGCACAGATGTTCCACATTGGCAAGAGGAGAGTAGGGGGACCAGGCAAAAGCGGTTGTTCTACACGAACAAGTTCATCTGAGAAACATACACGGCCCGTCCCGTTGCTCCTTGTGCATATACCAACCCCCACGTGCCCATGGTCTCACTATCGTGTCAAGAGAGGCAGGACACTATGGGAATGAAAAAAATCTCTGCGACAAGGCGAAGTGACAAAAGAATCACGAGGGTACCGCTACGATGTGGTGCTCCCAGCGAGAGCATCTTCAAAGGTTGCTTGGTTGAGTGTCCAGCAACAGTTCTTTTTTCAGGTTCGGGGGCACGGGATTCCGATGGCCTGAATCTGGCGAAGCTGGACGAGCTGGCGCGTGGTTTCAACGACAGGTCCAAGGGCGGAATGGATGCTGAAGCGTGAGATTTGCGCAGCACAGGTACATCACCCCCGGACTGCTAAAAGGTGCGTTGGTTGCCATCGTGAGGAGGGGCAAGGCCTGGACACTGCGGTCTTCTACATCAAGTTTGCATACAGTCTGCGGTGCGAGGATGAGTGCAGACATGATTATGTGTCTGCGTGCCCTGCAACCGATGCCCTTACAACCGAACCAACCGAAGATTGACGCCAACACTCAAACCGACTTCTCTGACGCTTGGTGCGTGGGAGCTCGCCGCAAGTAGTGACTGTGTGTCCCGACGGAGCCGCGTTTGCCCATCTAATTAGGGCCCTTGCTGGATGATGTAAACGAGCGGGTCTGGCTTTGTTTGCTGTTTTTGCTCCGCAGAGGCTGGTAGTAAAGTCACTAAGGCAGATGCCCAACTGTTATCTGTGATCCCGGTTCTCGGTTCACCG